CTTTCCCTATCATTGCTGCTCTGAGCATCACAATTATTAGGTAGATCAGAGCTTTTTATGACAGATTCCAATTAAGAAGCCTTGGTAATAAATAAGCTCTTCCCTCACTGTCTCTGCGAGAGGTAAAGGGTCCACTTAAAACAATAAACTGATTTTGGTCAAGAAAACTTGAAAAAAATGAGGACCTTGAAACAGTGGTACCTGACAGAGTCCCTAGTATAAGCTCTTCTAGGGCTGTTAGGTGTGTCTGTTCAGTTGGTTAATCCATAGATGTTTATCACTGGGGACGAGAAATACCATTTGACTGTCTTGTGTGTGTCAGCACCCGTATAACATGCACTTTTCATCCTGACAGTGGAGCTGTGAGCTAAGAAGTTTTCCCCTTCTATAGAAACTCTGAAAGCGTAAGTAGATTGTGGAAGATCAGGCCGTATAAAAGAAGCCTCTGGAAAATGCTGAGTGAATTTCAAAAGAATGATATGGCCTTTATAACGTTCGAGGATAATTTGGCTTGAAGACAAGCCAAAGGACACATGAAATAAATGCCAGTGGATTCATGAGGCAGCAGAGTCTCTTGGAGACACAGACATGTGGGAATACGTTACCTGAAGAATGTCTTTAAAAAAAAAAGTCATTTTTGCAAAAAATCAAATTGTATCTGAAGGAAGTAACTTTCAGATTGTATTTTGGGAAACCACAACTGAATACATTCAAGTAAATGATCATTTTAGATTTTTTCAGGGAGAATGTTTCTAAATATTGACAGGTTGTGTATGTTTCTGTCAGCAGTTGGTAGCAAGAGCTTCCAGCATGAACTATATGGTGGCTCCTGTAACTGGTAATGATACTGGAATCCGCAGAGCAGAAATTAAGCAAGGGATTCGGGAAGTCATTTTGTGTAAGGATCAAGATGGAAAAATCGGACTCAGGCTTAAATCCATAGATAATGTGAGTATTTTGTACAATTTATTTGAATTTGTCTGAATAGTCATTAAATGATCAACGTTAGAATCATTTAAAATGTAGGCGCTTTAATTAGTTTTTTTTGTTTTTTGTTTTTTTGTTTTTTTGCGGTACGCGGGCCTCTCACTGTTGTGGCCTCTCCCGTTGCGGAGCACAGACTCTGGACGCGCAGGCTCAGCGGCCACGGCTCACGGGCCCAGGCGCTCCGCGGCATGTGGGATCTTCCCCGTGTCCCCCACATCGGCAGGCGGACTCTCAACCACTGTGCCACCAGGGAAGCCCTTTAATTAGTTTTAATGGTGCTCTGTGATCGAGAATATTTTAAATCTGACTTTCCACTTGGAGATGCCGCCCTGTTCTGAAGAGGCAGAGTTGGGACTTCTAGCATTACCTTGAATGAAATTTTTTTTTCTTTTTTGAGTCCTTTACTTGGAATAAAGTTGACTAGTCTGCATGTAAACATAACATAGTTTATACAAGTAGGATTCTGGCACTGAAATAGGGCAACACATGAGGAAGTTAAGGGAAGACTGACCAGTGAGAATCAGTGGTCTTGTGATGTGTGTTTTTAAACTAAATGAAGATCATATAACTTGTTGTAATGTGGTTTTACAGGTCTGTTATTTCCATCCTTTAGTTTGGGTTTAATGAGGCATTTTCTAGGCAACAGTGACTTTCAAAAGTACTTTAGGGTTACTTTTGCCTCTCACCAGATTGAAGAAATAAAACCCTGTTGCTCTGAGGAAACATTTAGGAATGTTGAGGATGTGCCGAGTCTTCACCCCGATTTGTGGGTTTATGCATTATTTATTGGATTCCTTTTCAGTCTTCGGTCTTCTTAGCTCAGTGTGACTACCTTTGCACATAAAAAAGGATGGTGTGGCCCATGGCGGAAGGTGGCTGAGGGCATTGTGTTTTTCTTTGCATACTCATGGCTTGTGCAAGACGCATGAGCTTGCTGCTCTGGGAAGCTCGGACTTCTCTGCTCTCCCTTCCTGTTCGGTGAAGAGAGTACAACGCTGCCCCTTCCTCTGTCCTAAAGAAGGAGACCACACTCTTCACAGCCCATCCCCCATAGCAGTTATCCTTGCAGTGGGTTTGTCCACTTGGCTGAAGCTCATTGGTCCAGCCACTTTGCTGGGTGCCACCTAGTTTTCAGGCACTGCCCTAAAGTGTAAGACATGCGACATCATGTCTGACCCAGCTTAAGGTGGGAGAAAGGATCTAGCCTTATAAATGCTTTCGTATTGTTTTACCATGCTTCCTTTTCCTCTTTATGCTTGCTTATTTATATTGTGCTCAACGTCTGAGATTGAGAGTTTACATAAGTAAAAATAGCCCTGTGGGTTTAGTTCTCAGTTAATTGTACTTGAGTTTTCTGTATTTACTTCATAGTTGATTCTTTTAAGAACTGGAATGGTATTGAATGTGCCCACCTTTTTAGACTGTTAAATCTAATCGTAGTGATTATGCATAATTTAGCAAGTGGGTAAAGGAATTCTTCAGCTCAAAAGGTAGAGTTCTGACCTTAGACTATCATTTTTTAACCTGTAAGAGAAATCACACAACTTCTAACACTTTACTCCCTTTCCCCCTAAATAATGATCAGGTGCTAATACCTGTTTGGTATTCTATCAAACTCATAGAAGCTTACATTTATTATAGTAATCTGACTTTATTTTCCTTAGTCTTTTTATTCCAGGATGGAGGGGGTGATGGAGGTTGGTCGGGTGGGTCATGATTTGAGGTAGAAATTACCAGAGATCTCACTTTTTTACCTATTTCTTAGGGTACTGCCTTGATAAAGTTTTCAGTTTCATTCTTGGGGATAATGACACATCGTCATGTAATTTTTTTTTTTTTAAATAGGGTAGATTCCTAACCAGTTGGTTCGTAATTTTCCAGCATTTTTAAACATGTAACAGTGGTAAATGACCAATGATTTTCCCGTTCTCTAGGGTATATTTGTTCAGCTAGTCCAGGCAAATTCTCCATCCTCGCTGGTTGGTCTGCGATTCGGGGACCAGGTGCTCCAGATCAACGGGGAGAACTGTGCTGGCTGGAGCTCCGACCGAGCACACAAGGTGCTCAAGCAGGCTTTTGGAGAGAAGATTACTATGACCATTCGTGACAGGTGAGCTGACTAAACAGTTCACAGGGAAACTCAAGACTAGTTTCCCTTTTCTTGGGCTTTTAAGATGGTGTGAACATAATATTTTGTTGCAGAAAATGATCCAATGTTATTGATTAGCCTTATACTCTTGCACTTGTGCAGTGCAGATTTTTCTTACATAGTTTGACTTTTTAAAATTAGCATTCTGGTTTAGCATACAGAGCTTATAAAAATTGGTCCTCTATAAGAAGTTACTTTCCTTTCTTAATCTGTTTCTCTAGAAAAAAGGATAGAAAGGTAACTAAGCCGCAGGCGTCTCAGCCTTGCTTTCCGGTTTCCTGCTCAGGGTAGACACGTGGTACAGGGCCCCTGCAGAACTCCACGGGGTCTGCAGGTTCAGAAAACCCAGTCTGGCCTTTTGGGTGGATGAGACTCTAGTTGTCAGGTGGGAGGATGGAACGCTTTCTTTAGCTTGTTTATTTATAATGGAAACATTCAGCACATGTACTGCGGGCTTCCTTCCCGGCCACATGGGCATTGAGGGTAGACCTGTATCACACTGTTAGCTTTGGGGGTTTTATTCGTCTTAGTTAAACTTGTTTTATCTACATGTGTGTTTCCATTTCTCACACATGGTAGGTGCTGCGTAAACATTTTGTACAGGAATCTAAGGAAAATTTCAAAAAGTAACTTGGACTAACACGAAGACATGACTGTTGTGAAGTTTATAATGTGCAGTTCGTATTTTGTCATGAAACCTGTGCAGTCACGTGGCAGCAGAGTTGCAGAGTGGGCAGGTGCAGCTGGCGGGCGGCCGGTGCATGCAAGCACACGGCCGTCTTAACTGCCTTTTCTCCTAAGGGGCTGGGGAGCTTCCGTCTTGCTGCTTCTGTGGTTCTTCTAAAACAGAGCAAAAATATCTTCTGTAAAGTTTTCAAAATCAAGATGTGAGAAATATTTTAAAGGTTCTAAACGAAATAAGTATTTCCTAAGAAAAATTAAGCTCCAGGAAAGTTAAAAAAGAAATTCATTTTTAAGACTGATTTTTGTTCAAACCTATCTTCATGTTAAATTAGTGAGTACTGTAATTTCAGGGAATGGGTGTATTGATAACGCTTCATGCAGTTTAAGTCTTCGATGCTTATAAGAAGGAAATTGTAAGTTAGGCAAACCGTAATGGAGAGAATTTCTGAAAAAGTCATCTTTTGCACTAAGATGTACAAAATCCGTGCCATACGTACTGAGTAGCTCTTCTGGTAAACGGTGAGTTTATTGTGAAAAAGTATCCAGTATGTCAGAATGGAAATCCATGAAAATGCTTACTTTGGAATTAAAGTTTTAATTGAAGCCATTATGTTCACAGGCCCTTTGAACGGACAATTACCATGCACAAGGACAGTACTGGACATGTTGGCTTTGTCTTTAAAAATGGAAAAATCACATCCATAGTGAAAGATAGTTCTGCAGCTAGAAACGGTCTTCTCACGGAACACAACATCTGTGAGGTCAACGGACAGAATGTCATCGGACTGAAGGTCAGGAGCACAACTTGGGACTCATTCTGCTGCAGTTTTATTTTAGCAAAAACATCTTCATTTGTCTATTTCACTGGTGCTGTTATTGACCAACATGTAGAAATTCAGTGGGGTCCTGGGCTCTGGCTGTGCTCTGTGCTGGCCGTGCTCTCAGGGTGGGGCTACCACCTGGAATTGTGGCTTCTGTAGCGGGGTGGGGCTAGGCTAGATCTCTGAAGTCCCTCGACCTAGAACGGTGGAGACCTGAGCGTTGAAGATTTTGAGGACACTCTGGGTGAATGATTGCTTTTGTCAATCCAGGAGTTGTAGGAAATGTGCAGTAGTTTAGTAGTTCATTCTTATGGTTTATTCCCACCACATATTCCTCAATAGAACTATTCAATAGAACTATTTTGAGATCTAAAGGTTTTCATTAAGACCTGCTTGTTTCATTAACCTGGGTTAAGAATACACAGCTAGCCGAGGGGCTCTGGTAATACTGTTTTATGGGGACAGTGATTTGATCGTGAGTGATGAGAAGAATGATTTGTTGGCTGATATTTTCCACTCAGTTTACTTAACAGTTACCACTGATGAAATTGTGATTCTGTTGAATTAAAACTTGGTAAAGAAACTAGAAAAACTATAAATACCAAGGGTCGGGATTTTAGAGACATACATATATATATATATATATTTTTTTTTTACCAACAATAACTTAGTTTTATATGTATTTAATAAAGCCTCAGTAGAATTAATTTTCGTTGTGTATTTTCAACAGGACTCTCAAATCGCAGACATACTGTCAACAGCTGGGAATGTAGTTACTATTACAATCATGCCTGCTTTTATATTTGAACATATTATTAAACGGTAAGTAGACAAATTCTTCATCCTGATGCTACGTTCACGTGACCTCATAGAAGCACTGTTGTGCTTCTTGTAATTCTCAAACCTTTGGGTGGTTTTTTTTTTTTTTTAACCTAAGAGATGGCATTGGCATTATCTAGAAATTTGAAGTAAATTATTTAAATCAGAGGAGGATGACCCCTCACAAATTCCCAAGTATGGAATAAAATCCACTTCCTAAATTTTGATGTTTCCTAGTAGAAAAAGGTACACAGCAGAGGGGGGCAGGCTCTCGTCTCAGTTTTCACTGAAAGCGTAGTTGTGGTCTGCCTGCAGCTCCTCTGCTCAGTAGATGCCTACTTGTGGTTCACGAAGAATTCTTGCATGTGGGGTGTTGGAGAAACCGTCTTTTTCTTTTGGCTGCGTTGGGTCTTCGTTGCTGCATGCGGGCTTGCTCTAGTTGCGGCAGCTTCTCGTTGGCGGAGCACGGGCTCTAGGCACGCGGGCTCAGTAGTTGTGGCACACGGGCTTAGTTGCTTGGTGGCATGTGGGATCTTCCCGGGCCAGGGCTCAAACCCGTGTCCCTGCACTGGCAGGCGGATTCTTAACCCCTGTGCCACCAGAGAAGCCCTGGGGGAACAGTCTTGATTCCCGGGGAGCATCTCAGGAGGCAGCAAACCGTGTGGGGTGTGCTGTCCGTCCTCAGGAATGCGGACTGGAAAGCTGAGGAGGGGAGAACAGCAAGGGGGCGGCCAGGGCTGTCTGCCCAGCAGCTTTTACACTCTGGCTTGGCTAAGCCAGTGTAGAATTCTTCTTGCAGAATCTACCTTGCATGTGGAAATAGAATTTAAAATATTAAAAACATCCCACCTGTAATGGTTTGTTTCAGCTTCTGGGTAGAATGCAGCTAGCTGCTCTTGGGGTCTTGGCTGGGAGAGTTGTCAGGACTGATCCTGCAAGAGCTCACTTTTCTTAAACCAGTAATAGCTCCCACCCACTTCCTGCCAACAAGTGGCATTGTTGTTTTCTGTCTTAACTATCCAGCCTTGATACACAAAGATACAAGGACTTTTCTGTATCTTATCTAACTTTACTAGCCAGGATGCAGATAGCTTTTCACACTGGGTATTTTGCAAACAACTGGGTTACCTGAGACCCTTAAAAAAACCTTCCCCCGCATTCCACCTTGATGCTAAGAGTGCTAGTTTCGATTGGAGTTTTCTGGGAACCTAAACCTCTGTATTTAATAAAAGTGACTCTCTTGTAGGATGGCACCAAGCATTATGAAAAGCTTGATGGATCACACCATTCCTGAGGTTTAGAAGCCACGGCACAGTAGAAACTTGACTGAAGTTCTCCCGTTTACATCTCTGGCAACTTACCTTTATATTATGCACATGAAGCTTTCTAGGAGCCAGCAAGCATCTGCTGCATGAGGACCTTCCTGTCTTACAGTAGGGCTGGGAATCTTACTGTTTGATCTGATATCTTGTTCAGACTTCAAGATAGTTGTAGCCTTATCCTGATTTTATAGTTGAAAGACTTACTTTTGTAGACTAGTGTCTTTACTGGAAACCAGATGCTTTTACAGCCCGTGTCATTAGGATGACTGATGCAGGCTCAGCTCTGTTGGAACCAGTCACCTTCAACCCGGGGTATCAGGCAGTGCTGTTCATATCACTTTAGTTCTATGGTATATGTGCATTTTTACTGTTACCATAGTACATTTAGAATGATTACATTTTTCTTTCAGTTCTGTTTGTATAAAACACCAATTAAGTAACACTGGTTTCATTCCATGTAAGCATTATTTTTCAGTGTGCAAGAGACTGTATTGACTCTCATTACGTTTTAACTACCTTAATATGCTTGGACTGTCACCTTAACAAACAATGTTAAGCAATCTAGAATAAAAGCCAAACTATTGCTGCCTTTCCAACACCCCCAACGCAGTTCTCTGTTAAACTGAAATGGACACTAGCCCGGAGCAGTGTAACGGTACATGCTGAGCAATAGCACAGCTGCTTAGCTGCATTTGAGGTTTTCTAGTCCTTGTGTAATGGAAACTTTTCCTCTCAAAGTTACTGGTATCACTTTCTGAGACATGAAAATGAATCACTATATATGTAATGTAAAAATTCTTGTACTAAATAGGATAAACTTTGACTTCTTTTTCACGTGTAGATTAAGTGGGATAATACCTGGTTTCGGCACTTACACGTAACCTAGCTGTCTTAGCATGCTAGCCTGGTAATTTGTTCCATTTCCTGACCCCTCCCTGCAAACAGAATGACAGCGACACTTCATCCTGATTTGTTCTTCCTTCCTTCTCTTTGGTTTATGACTATTCTATTTTAATTGAAAATGTATAAATAAAGTTAGATTTTAGTCTGTCTGTCATTGCATCATTGGAAACATTAGGCCTGGGGGAGTGAGTCACCTCCCAGAGCGGCAGCCACCTGGGAGCCTGAGGAAAGCCCCTCTGTACCACGAGGGCCTGAGTGTCGGGAGCAGGGCCTCCAGCCGGGAAGCTGGCCCGCACTGAGCCTAGTGATTCTCCCTAGGGGCCCCCAGGCCGAGTCATAGTTAAAAATTCAACATACACCAGGGCTTACACCAGGGCTTGTAAACGGTGTAGGAAAATCTTACATCGCATACTTGCTGTGGTTCAGAGGTCGTCAGTGCTACTGCTTTACAGCTTACCTCGTGCGAAATTCAGAAAAGCCAAGCACGGCACGTTTCTCAGTTTGATTCTCTACCTCGGCATCTGGACTTCGGTCTGAAGGGTAGTTACAGAAGTCGAGGATGATGTTCACGGTACTCTCAGGGTTTTCTAGAAGGATCAGTACTCCAAGTACCCAGTACTTTGTTAATAAATCATTTAAATGAGAAAATGAAAACTGCTTTCATTACAGAAAAATATTTTTTAATGTCATAGAAAAGATGAGCATTTAAAAGCTATAATGAAATAAACCATTCCCATACACTGTAAACTGTTACAAGAACTGCTAATCCTTCCCCAGGGTCTTAGAATCTGGGGCCAGTCGGTTATAGAAAGTAAGCACTCCATGGAAACACACATCCCAAAACCCAGTGGGCAGCAATTGTGTCGAGTAGAAAGACATAACAGAGTGACTCGGCAGCAGAGAATACTCACATTTTCTTGGGAAGTTTCCCCAGCTGGTTTGGTATCTCTTAGCTACGCCCTCTGCCACCCAGACTTGCCTTCTGACATCGTCATCCCGGGCTGACCACCTGCCTTACATGTTAACGTTGTTCTCCCAGTACTGCCACAGCCCCATCTGCCTTAGAGCATCACAACTAATGGCTTTCAGTGAAGTCACCAGGATTTATAACATTTAAAACCACAAATCTCTCATGTGGTAAGACTTCTGATTACTATAATTGCACATTCACCAGTGTTCGTTTAAAAGTTTGGTTTAAAAAAGCATTACATAGAGTTCAATAATATTCGAGGAAAAGGCACTTAATACTGCAATTTCCAGAACATAATTTGTCTGTCTTCCCCTCCCGTGATGACACTGCTACACTGGTCGTTCATCCACATACACGTTACGGCACCTGCGAGAAGAGGCGTGTGGTTAGGGGGTGAGCTGACCAGGAGGTACCACGTGGTCTTGTCCTATAATACAATGTGCATGAACTCAGAGTAACTACTCAGTACAAGGAACTTGGGAGGTGAATAAGCAACTATTTGAATGTAGAGCTAAAGCGACTGGGAATTGCAGAGCAATACAAGTATTATGTACACCTGTGACAAAAGTCAGGCGGCAGATGAGAGAAGGGCGAATTGGTGTGAGTTTGCTGGTTTACTTCCGTTTCTATCAGGAGTCAAAGTGTTATTTAAAGCTCGTGAGCTGGGGAAGAAAGGCATAGACAGGTCGCTTCAATGTATGATGTTACGAAGAAATAACCACACACAACAGTGACAGAGGGAAGAGAGTGAAGGTGGGCAGTCAGTAGATACTTATAACCATATGTGGCCATTACAAGAATTAACCATAAATCCTCCAAGTGCTTGAGAGGAAAGGAGGACATGCAGATGTACGCAGTGAAAAACCAACGGGCAGGATGATGACGCGCACAGCAGCGCATCCTTCAATAATATGAGACATCTCCAGAAACCCAGCTGCAGAGTCTTCCCAGGACGAGGCCCGGGATGGGGGTCTGTGGGAGGAAGACTTCATTTCCACTGTGATTCATTACTTTTGTACCGTTTCCATTACTTTTGTATTGTTTCTTTCTACCGTGTGCATGTATTAAATGACATACAGCTTTTACTTGGCTTTTAATTCTCCATGTGGAAGTTAAAAACTTCCATTCTGGAGTCGAATGTCTCTCAACCCAAGAGATGCAGATGGCCTGGCCAGCCAGGATCTGGAGGGGAACGTCCACGGCACAGAGGACACACGGGGAGTTTTCTGCTTGAGAAGGGCTCGTCTGCTGGTGGGAAAAGCAGGTTTGGTGGGGTCAGGTCAGCAGCAGACAGCTTACCTGTGTGGCCCTGGATTCTCTCCCTGATCTTCCCCCCGAGAAGGTCCCAGACAAGCAGCTCACCGGACTGACTCCCGGATAAAACAGAATTTCCGTCCCAGAGAAAGCACCTGCAAGAAGGATTCAGAAATCATCCTTTCATCGTTGGTCATGAAGGAAGGGCCAAAGCAGGCCCTGCGCCGTGATCGTGAGCCTGCCCATAAATGTCCACCACGAGTAACCCGAGAAAGTGCACCTCTGGGGCTCGTCCGAAGTCACAGAAGAGATGAGCATTCCTGTCTGCACATCGACGACATTTAGACAGCCGTCTTCTCCTGCGCTGAGGACGTGGCGACTGTCTGTAACACAAGGCGGAACGTGGATACGGGTTACAGCTTCACAAGCGTGGTTTAGATTAATCTGAGATTTTACTGCTGAATCCAGGGGCCAAATGTTCGCTTGAGCTACAGCTACTTGTTGTATTTAACCAATGATGACTAGCCTCTCCCTGAAATGCTTCTGTTTTTAAGACACTGGGCTGATGACCCTTAGGTGTGAATTCACTTACACCTTATAAATTGATTTCTCCAGTGAGGTGAGGAATTAAGAACAGTACCTGATACTGCTTTTCTAATAGATACAAATACCACATATACCGTATTTGACCACAAAGCAGCTTTACCCATAGGCAAAACCTCTTTCTACCAGCAAACAGTGCTTTTCTTTTTATATTATTACATATTTCAAAATAATAATCCCAGTTGCCCTGGTGTTATCTGTATTAAAAAGGCTAATACTACCTGGGCTGAAAGCAGTATCACATACAGTCCCTGAGTGACATGGAATCTGGTGCAATATGGTGGCTGCAGTGAGGTCCCAAATAGTCACTGTGCCTTCTTTGGTGCCTGAAACCAACAGTGTGCTTGCAGCGCTTAAACTGATTGTATCGACCTAGAGGAGAAAACAGACAGTACTTCATTTAGAATCATGGTCACTGAGCTGTGATTCCCCAGACCATTCTTTCAACACCACCTACTGAATGATAATTCGTTTAAAAGTGAAATTCTTCATATGCCAGTGAATACAATGAAGTATATTGCTGGGGTCAACGTAACACTCTTTTTAAAAGAGCCTAAAATGGACCGTCTCAGAATGATAACTCCTTGAGTAATAAGTGGTAGCAGGGTGCCAGACTGCCCGAAGCACGGCGGCTCCACGATCACCTGGGGAGGTGGGGATCTCTCAGGGTTATCCTCGCACGCCCTTGAACTATACACAGTAAATAATATGTCTCAACCCCAGTCAGTCTGCTGACCATGCAGATTCGGCATCAGTTCACAACCTCAGAGGAAAGGCAGTACCACAGGCCACGGCAGGAGATGCGGCCGTGACCTCGTGGAGACAGAGCGGGTGAACAGGACGCGGTGCCAGCCTTGTGCGCCTGCTGCACGCACCATGCAGACAGGTTGGTGTCCTCGCCCTAGACAGAGGGCCCCCTTTCCACCCTTGGTGTCAGAAAACACATCTAGTTGCCCCGATAGTGTGAGGATACCCAGGTATTCAACGTCGTGCTCAGACACCGGTCTTTTGGAAGTCTAGCTGGACGGTAGCTAATTCTCAAAGAAACAGCAAACTGGAGGAAAAAAGACAAGACTCAGAAGGCCAAAGAGCTCCCAGAAAAGAGCTGAGAGTTTGCCTGTGCTCTCCCCTCTGATGAGCAAAATAAGCAAAGCAAAAGATCGTAAACCCACAAGTGAAGCCAAGAGCCTCCACCACCCCGGACGGGTCAGCTGGGCTCCCGTGCAGCTCTGTTGCCGGTACTCACGCTGACATCGTGCTCCAGCTCGGCCAGCAGGTCAAACTGGTGTCTCCTGGAGCCTGGCATCTCTGCAGGAATCCCGGACCACACCTAGGACGGGACCCATTGCAGAAGGTAGTTGTAAACACTATAAAAGCATTTCTAAACACGTGCAGGAAAAACTCTCCTGACTGACCAACTCCCCAGCTGCCAACAAAATGAAATGTCGTGAGGCTCGGTCCCTCTGCCACATGCCTGAGCTTTTATTTCCGCCACCACGTGCTTCCTGAGAGTCTGCTGTACCCGTGTCTGCTTCCATCTCTTGCACTTGCTG